GAGATCCGAGAGGTAGAGGCCCCTGCCAGAGCTGCTGCCAAAGCTGTTCATAAGGGCAAGTGGCAAAGCTATCGTGCAAAAGGACCCCCCCCCGTCGGGTTCCAGTTGCCTTTGGTCCTCGCATTCCCACGGGCGATGAGCGGGCAGCAGGAGGCCCCGGGCTCGTCGAGGCCTCAGAAGAAGCCCTGCTGTCAGACTTAGGCCGTCCTTTCGTGCCCAAGGCAGCACACAAGGTGTGGGTACAGGACTTCAACAATGGGCGCAGCAAGGAAGGCGCTAGGGAGACATCCAAGCCATTTTGGCTTACCAGACCAGTGTTTCACCCAGAATTTAATGCAAGCAGTTTTGGGACGCGCCACCCCGCGCCGTAACACACGGCCTGTGGCACGACGGTCCGCAACAGAACAGAACAGTTCTGTTCCTTCAGGCACTTTGGGTCACCACTACGGTTTCCACGCCAGGGCAATGTTTTTGTCGGACCCTGGTCAGGCTATAGGGTTAAAATCTTGCCGCGGGTTTGACGTCCAAGCGCCTGTTCTGAGGCGTTTTGGGGTGTCACCTGCCCGCCTGGAGCCGTGGTGGTCTCGGAGGAACTGGGAGACAATTTCGGCATCTGCCAGTCGCACGTTTGGGGTTTACAGGGTTTGAGGTGCGGCCTGGGTAGTCCTCATAGTCCCAGAAGCGTGGTTGTTCTCGGACTCATTTCTGGAACTAAACGTTTGCCGGCACGCGCTTGGGCTAAACCTGAGGAGAAGACGCTCCCCCACTGCCTGGACATCCACGCTTCGGATTCACAGGAGAAGCTTCGTGCCGGGTATTGCGCCATTGTATGCGCCATTACACCATCAACACTTTCGGTTTTGGCTAGAAGACCTCCTGCCCAACAGAATCTAGTCAGTTTGAAGCCGGAGACCAAGGCATTCGAATGCCACCCAAGCTAGACACCGTGAGGAGGTCCTGTCCGCCTACTCCGGGTCAGCGACGTGTCCTTCTGGCTATGCCATCAGCGGATGGTACAACCTGCCTGGCATCAAGGTGGCTAGGTGTGGAAGGTTTCATGAGCTGTGCCAGTCTTTTTTGCACCGACCTTGGCATGGTGGCAGTGCTATCTTCTGCATTGCTGGCAGTTGCGAGAAGCTGTGAGACCTTCGTGCTCGATGTCAGTTAGCTTTTGAGAGCGACTTACAGCTCAGTGCAACCAGTCGAACTCTGAACATGTATGCCTCAGGTCAAGGGCAACAATCTCACTGGAGGCCCGCAAGACTGGTCGCTCGCCAGACATGGTGTTTTCGCATGCAGTTTTCGGGTTGCGCCTGTCGGAATGAAAGATTTAGAGATTCGGCTGGGAAGCCTATGCTCCGAACAGCATCCTAAAAGCCTTCTCATTGCATCCTAAACCCTAAACCGCAAGCTTCTCGAAGGTTCGTCCCTCTGCCAGTTGGCCATTAAACTGTCGTCTACCCAGAATTTCGAGTTGTGAACAACCTGATCGACATCTAGACCATGCGACACTTTGACACAATATTCCGGCAGATGTATTACAAGCCAGCCTGAGCCTTAAAACCTTATAAATCCCAAACCCTAACCCTAAACCCTAAACCTCACAAGCCTTATCCCTAACCCCCCAGGTACCCAGTATATAGGGCCCTAGGGAGCTATAGTACCCTATATAGTGGGTACCTGGGGGGTTAGGGTTCTAGCTCATGGATCAGGGGCTCAGCTCCCTCCCTCGCGTGATGGAATGCCAAGGACTGAACTCAACGTCTTCTGTCGGAGGACCCGATGTCTTGGTATATATTGCCCTAATCCCCAGGTACCTCCTATATAGGGCCCTAGGGGATCTAGCAGCCTGTAAAGTGGGTAATTGCGGGGTTTAGGGTTTAGGGTCTAGTACCCTATAAAGTAGGTACCTGGGGGGGTTAGGATCAGGAGAGATTAAGGTTCGCCCAGGGACTGGTTCTCCCTTCAATTGTGTACGATGCCTTTCGCTGCCTCCGCCTAGTACTTGCAAGAGGAAACCGCGTAGTCCCAGATGAGGGTCACCACATTTCGTTGAGTTCCCAGAACCCTAACCCCCCAGGTACCTACTATATATGGCCCTAGGGGTTCTAGTACCCTGTATAGTAGGTACCTGGGAGGTTAGGGGTTGAGTCTTAGAATGCTGTACCGTGAGGGTCTGGGCGGTAGCTTGGGTAGCCGTGCGGCGGGCTGAAGGACAAATCTGATTGGCTCCTGTGACCAGCCATCGAAGCCACATTGCACCGCGGGTCACGTGGTGAATGCCATCAGCTACAGTCAGAACCAGGTGTGGGTCTTGCTGTGACATGTGCAGACGCACTTCTTGGCCTAGCCTCTGGACATGTAGGATTACAAGTGCGCAGGCCTGCCATTAGATACCGCTACCCGAAAGCATGGCTTCTTTTGTCGAAGCAGGTTTAGGAAGGAGACGAGAGAATTCCAAAGTTTTGCTTAAGTGCCCTGCAACTCGAACGGGTTTCGGTGGGTGATTGAGCAGTTTACGTCAGAGGGCCCCAAATTGAAATCCCAATGCTCAAAACTTGCTGCCTCAGTTCAAGCTGGGCTGCTGTCGATTCTTTTGGCCCATGGGCGCATCCTTGCTGCCTCATGGACGGGTCGCGAGACCGTACTGTGGCTGGAATTTCGGGTGAGTCCAAAGCAAGGAGAGTTTGCCGAAGCAACAACTTCTCATCGAGTTGAGAAAGATTACAGTTGGGGTTTTTATAAGTTTCAGATTTGCCTACTACTTATGGCAAACGTGGTTCTCAGGTTTTCCCGACGTACAAGTAAGGAAGGGCAGCTGCTGGGATAATCATGTTCACGGCACCTTCGGTTCTCGCAGAGCTGCTCTTTATCCTTTCCAAAAATTTTTGGAACCTCAATATAAAAGGGGCCCAAAGGAAGACGAACACTTTACGTAGCAATTACCAACCTGAACCTTAAAACTTGTACCCTAATTCTTGACTAAGCCCCAACCACATGGGAAAACTTGAGTTCAATGAGCTTTCTTGAGATTGAAGATTCTTTCAGAGACTGGCCTCAGGGCATATTCAACTTATTCAGTGTTTTATTCTAGTTGAATAAGCCCAGGGTCCTGGATAGAAGGTTGAAGCTTAAAGATTCCCAGAAAAAGGTTGTCTTAAATCTTCTATCCAGGACCCTTGGCCTTCTTCAACGTATTCAAGGTTTCATTCACGACGAAAGAGCGCAGGGTCCTGGAGAGACGATTGAAGAAAACTGTTCATGGAATCTTCAATCTTCTATCTTCTATCCAGGACCCAGGACTTATTCAACTTGAACAAAGCGCTGATAAGTTGAATAAGGCCTGGGTGCGGGACTAAACCCATCAACTCCCTTTCCCCGCCTCCCCCCACGGCGCAAGCCCGTTGTGATCGAGACGCACCCCGCCGCCAGCTACCTTGCAGTTGTCCACTGGTTGTTGCGAAATCCTACACCCCATTTTGGTAGATCCATGGAGTGGGAGTGTGTGTACCATACATACATACATACATACATACATACATACATATATACATATATATATTACATATATATATATAGATTTACGTTTAGTCCGTAGCGTTCCGTATAAGACGTTGTTGTATTATAGTTTACTCAAGACCTTGTTCCAATCATTCAGGCCCTTATACTTCTCATAGTGTAAGGATTGGTGTGCCAGATTGCAGCCTTTGGGTGGGCTGTATGTGGCAAACCATCAGCACATACGGCTGCACTGTTCAAGCGCGGGCAACTCTCAATGAATACAGATGCTGTTCTTCAATCGTTCCAAGAAGTGTAAGACAAGTAATTCTCTTGAGTTTTACCCTCCAGCTGCAATGCCCCATAGCCTAAGGGTCCAAAGCTGCACATGTTGTGTTTTGCCGGCTCCTACTTACCTATGTCGAGCCCTGTCCAGTTCAGGACTGTTTAGCCGGAGCAAAGGGTTTAGGGGTTTAGGGTTTGGGGTTGACGGGTTGGGGGTTTAGGGTTTAGGAACCCTAAACCCTAAACTGTGGCTTCTGAGTGCCACCAGGTATCTCAGCTTTGAGGGCTACTACTGCCCCACGCAAATGGGATCCACAGGCCACGTGGTGGCTTGCCATCTCAGGGGTCCTGGGATCCACAACCTCCAGGTTTAGGGTGTAGGGGTTTGGAGTTTAGTGTTTGGAGTTTAGGGTTTGGAGTGTAGGGTTTGGAGCTTAGGGTTTGGAGCTTAGGGTTTGGAGTTTAGGGTTTGGAGTGTAGGATTTGGAGTTTATGGTTTGGAGTTTAGGGTTTTTGGGAGTTTAGGGTTTTGCTGATACTCAGCAGGAAGGCCATCAAAGATACGTGTATCAGAAGCCATGCCTCTGAACAACGGCGCTACCGACACACTCTGTTTTTCCGTCCTTGGGCCAACGCGTCGTCGGCACCCGGCTGTCTGCAGCTTCTGTGCGCATGCAAACACCGGTCATCGAACATGTCTGCTTGCAGCATCTGTGCACATGCAAGCATGAACCATGAAAGCTTTGGAGTAGAGCTTCTGCACTCCTCCTCTTCCCTTGAGAAATCACCGCCAGGGAAGCACATTTGACGATCTGCTTCCTAAGCTTTCTTAGCCCTGCTCCGGATTGATGACATAGAGGCCGCGCGTGTTCTGGCAATACGCACATAGATCGAACCTTTGGGGAGGACGCGTAGCGTTCCTCTGGCCATAGCAATATTGTGCCGCATGAATCCGGTCCCCGTGAGGTGTTGTGAAAAAAGGCCCCGTATAAGTTCGTAGTCACTCCAGAGGAATCACTGGCACTGCGACTGTCTGGGTCCCAATTTCCTTCGTTGAAACCCAAGAGGAAGACGACCGAGTAATAGATGAAGCCCTTCTCGAAAACCTGCTAGTCAACGATCCCGTAGTCTCGGGCAGCTCCAGCTCTCGTCGTCGCATCTCCTCCTGAACTGCGTCGCGAGTTCTAGTCCTCAGTCGCTCTGCTCGCTCAGGTCTTCTAGTTCGTGAACTCCACCACAAGCGTAGCGGACGTAAAATCTTCTTCACAAAACTCCCACAGGCCCACAGCCGCCACCACCACGCTGATGAGCACGGCATAGAACTCCACGGATCCATCCAAAGGCAATGCCTCCTTTCCAGCATCCACCCCCTTTATAAGGCACAAGCATATAACCACGAATAACAGCCATCCATTGCAACTGGTCACCCTCAAAGCCCGCAATGCTGCGTTGGTAGCCTCCTTGGGAACACATGGAACAATCTGCCACAGGTCCAGAAGCGACTTGAACTTCGGCAGGTCGAACCCTTTCGTCCCTAAGTCCGCCTTCTGCATGCTTCCACACACGTGTGATATCACCAGTCTTTGAGCAGCAACTTCTTGCCGCAAAAACCGCGCCCTTATACGAAGGTGCCTTGTCTTCCACGTGCCAGGTGCTTCGCTTGCTAGTCCTTGGGCAGCGGCGTTATCAATCCTCAAATGCATGACCGGGTATAGGCTCAGTTCAGAGAGCAGAGCGTCGATGCCCAACCCTGATTGTACGGCTGAGCATCCCTCGTACAACTCCGCCTCAGCAACCGACAAAGTTATCACCGGTTGTTTCGACGCGCGCCAAGCAACTGGCATCCCGTAGATCTGCGCCATGGTCGACCCAAACGAGCGCCCCCCCCACCAGGGGCAAAACTGACGTCAGAATAAACTGCTAGCAAAGGATCATCATCCACCTCCTGAGACAAGGTGCCGTACTCGACCGTGCGCGCCAGGTACTTCAGGACCCTTTTGCTTATTTCCAGAGATCTCAACGGTCTCTTCAGAGCATGCGAGGCCATACATCCCACCGCGTGCGCCAACTCCTTGTCGACAACCATAATACCTCTGCCGTGGCCTTCTGTTCCAACTTAACGTAGGAATATCCCCGTCCGACTCAGCATCTTGTAACCACTCTCTGTTGCAAGGCACCGTCAAACCACCCTGAGGATCCTCCTCCATTCCATGTTGCCGTAATAGGTCACGAACATAGCCAGATTGCGACAGATGTATACCTTCTCCACATACTCGAAGTTCCATGCCAAGAAACCTCAACGATCCTCCTTCGACCCATTCTAGCTCGGTGCACTTCCAGTCTGCATCCACCACACCACGGGCTGCACAAATCATGAAGTCGTCCACGTAGGCCAGCACCAATCCTTGTACTGTATCGTCACCACTAAAGGTAATCCTCCACAAGTTCTCGTCCGTAGTGGTGGCCGTCAGCTCGATGACGACATCCTCGTACTCGATTCTTGCTCCAGCCAACCGAGCATTGCGAAAGTCACCCCAAAGCCGGGCTGCCTCGCGTGGGCCATAGAGGACCCTGGTTATCTGCCAGGTTTCACCTGGAGACGCTGCTCCAGCCAAGATGACAATGGTCGGAGGAGTCAAACCATACGTCAAATCCTTTGGCATAGGCGCCAGCGTAAATGCGTTGGCCACATCTGTACTGGCAATACACCAGCCCATCTTCACTGCTAGAGCAACTGCAATACGTAGTGTATCGGCCGATGTACCCGACGCGTAGACATTCTGGCCTTGAGCTGGAAGGAAATTGCCGCAGACCACCACCCTGCATTTGCGACGGTACTTCTCTGGACCATCTGGATCATTGGGCGGCTTGACAGTGAATACCGCCTTGCCCGGCAACACCACCAGTCCAGCCTTCTTGAGCTCCCTGGTCTGCTCCGAGTTCAAAAGGGTCACTGCGCCTGAGTCTATCAAGGCGTTCATTTCTTTCACGATAGCGCCCTTCCACAGCCCAACATATTTCCGTACTTCGGGTAGGCTCACGTTGGACGACTTCTATAGGGGACCCGTAAGAGCGCGCAGAAGCTCCTCGACTTCCACGCCCATAGCCTCCTCAGGACAAATCTTCAACACCTGCCTGAGCTGCTTGAGCTGAATGCGCCCAAGCTCTTTGGCACACTTCTCAAACGCCTCTTGCGGCCTCCGCACATAGTTCGACTCCTGGTCCTCGACCGCCAACTTCTTGGACTCCTCCTCAATTTCACACCTGAGAACCCGTGCCTGCTGCTCGACATCCTCCTCTTCAGTGCTGTCACCGTCGGTGTCCAGATCCGAACCATCCTTGTTGGCCTCCTCGAACTCATCATCCAAAACATCATAGACATCCACCCCAGTGTTCTCAAGAGGAAAACCACATCTGCTCATGAACGCTGCTGACTGAAGCGGTATAGCTTCCACACCAAGAGGAGTAAACCCAGCCAAAATCCGACGCTCTCCATCCTTGCCCTCGATATACGAGTGAAGTTTCTTCGGGTCAAACACAGCAACCTTGTTCTTGATGTCGACAACACGTCCCTCTGCCAAAGATCCATCAGGTAGTTCTCGCTGTAGGTCGTTGCCCTTGGTCCCATCGTGCTCATTCACCTCGTGAGCATCTGATAACCAAAGCCCTCCAGACTTCCATGGCAAAGTTTGGCATGCCCAGCTTATTACGGAGATCACGATGAGATGGAATTTCCCTGCCCTGAACACCCCCAAGGTTGTCCAGCTGGGTTCCCTCAACGTAGTTTCCCGCGTCCTTGTTTTCGACACCATGTTCAAATACTTCGTAAGCCAAGGCCTTTTCGAGGTGATCGCTGTAGAGGCCCTCGTACCTCCATGAACGTATCCCCCAAGAATCAAGGCTGCAGTCTGCTTTCCCCTTGTCTTTCTTTTGGGACCACCACCAAGATGAACATCACGTAGCACTTCCGCGCACGTCTCCACATCAAACTTGCCCAAGCCGCAGAAATAGCGAGCTTGTTCTTCTTGTTGTTGTACTCGAGACTTCATGGTCCAACCAGACTTGACCTTGAACAATCCCATGTCACGATAGAGCTTCATCAATGCCGGCGGCGGCTGTTTACCTGACATCCGGTAGCTCGGTTCTGGCATCTCAACAACTGGTACCTCACCCGGTTCTACACGACCCACGCCACGACCATCATCCGGTTCGCGTTCAGCCAGTAAAACATGTGGATCCACAACATTCGCCTTGAGGTTCAGTGTCTCGGTCGGCGCACCACTTGGCCGAAGCACGATGGCGCCCCCCTTTATGCTGTCCGACAACCCAAGGTAGATGCCCTCCTCCCAGCGATCCGTGAGGTCGTACTTCTTGTTCTTGCCAAAGACCTTTCGTCTGATCATCACCTTGGAAGCAAACTGAAGCAAACGCGGTGACGACAAACCCAATCTTTCATATACTCGTCGGTTCGCTGCATGTTGCATGGCCAACGTCCAATACTTCAGAGTACACCTCGCTCTGCCGCACCGTTTGTTGGGGGCACCAAAGCTTCCGATCGGGTGTGATAAATGTCGTGATCCAACAGCCACTTCCTCAGCCCCGTGCGAGGCGAACTCGGAGCCACGGTCTGAGTGGAGCCTTGCCACTGGTAGACCCCAAAGCTTCAGCCTCAAAACAGCTTCTTGCGCTGCCAACATAATGTCTCCACCTCGTCGGGCACGAACAGGATACACGAGGTAGATAGTATCCATCTCCACCGGCTTTGTGAGGTCGCCGATGATCTTTTCCCAAGTCTCTTCATCCTTCTTGAGCTCCTCCTCGTCCTCCTGAACTTCGGCTGTAGGCTGTAGACACCGTGAACGTAGTCCGCCCGGTCCACAATCTCTCCAAAGCCCGTGCTCCCGACTGAGGTCCATGCCAATCTGAGGTCTCAGTATCAACCCCGCCGCTCACATACTTCACCTCCGTCACCCGGGTATAGTCCAACATGCTTGGAGAAATCGGACAACCATTCCACACCGTAAGACGAAACAGGGTTGTACGTGGAGTTACATGGTGACGTATAAGAACTCCAGCTGACTCCCGAAACTCCCACCAATCATCCGAAACCTCCTTCTTCTTGGCTGCCTTCGAGATGGGCTGAGGGCCACTTGCGTCTTCAACATCAACATCACTCTCTTGTCCCCGCTCTGACACATACCCATCTGAGCCAACGACATCCTCTTCAATATCCTCATCCTGGGAAGCCTCCCCAACCTTGGCGCCCAAAGACCATCCATCTAACTGCTCATCCGGTATAGGTTGGTCCTCTGGAACAAGCTTCTGTTTCGGAAACTGGTATGTAAACACCACTGCATACTTCTCGCCCTTCACCCCAGGAACACGAACTGGACCCAACATACCCGCACCCAACACATAGCAGCCCCGATGCAAAGATTTCCGGTGCGGCCTCCCCGTTGCATTGTAAATACACTGCAAACAGTCTGGTCTGTAAGGCACGTGATCATTTGCCAGGTGTCGCTCCCATGCCTGGCGGTCCACTGCCTTCAGCGCTTTAGCTAAACGCGGATACCATCCAGGACGCCGCTTCCATCTTTTAAGTCCTTGGACAAGAACTCGTAGCATCATGGGCGCCCACGACGACCACGAACCAGTCTCCTCCTCACCATGCGCCCGAGCATCCCGTACACCCTTTAATTCTGCCACATCTAAGTTCGTTGCCATTAGTGGTCGGTCTCCTCATAGGATGTCCCAAACCGCCTTGCTCAAAGTGGCACACATCCAGGCGATTCTCAGCAATCCATCTCCGAAACCACTTGAAGACCCATGCCAACGACGACTCATCCTCTTCCGACTCCGATGACGACCACAGAGAAAACCCAACACCATCCAACGGCACATCTGCTTCCGAACAAACATGAGATCTCCCAGCACGGGCCACCTCATACAAGACCACAGTCCTCAATGTGTGCTCCAGCGCATTGTGTCGCCGAAGTCCACCTAGCACCGCCGCTATCCTGCCGGTGGCTGCTCCCCATAAAAGCATCATCATCACACCGGTGCCGCCGCCAACAGGTCCAGTTGAGGTAGTCGCTGTGTGTCAATATCCAACACCGCTGTGCCATCATTCTCCACCGCCTGGAAGATCTTGTCAGACGGCGACCGCCTATTGCTGCACAGCTTGACCACCCAGTCTTTACTCATCAGCCTCTTGCGCATCCTGGAGGCCGAGCTGTTGCATGAGCTCCCAAGCCTGCTGCTCTGTTGTCGGGAGGTCCGTAATGATCTTCGCCATCTCGCCGTGCAACTCCTCAGTGGCCAATGGTGCCGACGCCATAGCCCTGAAGCCATCCTCAACGCGCCCCGAAACAACGTACTGCTGAAGGCTCCTTTCCCACAACGGGTCCAACTGAACATCGCGGGCTCTGGCTATCGCTTGCGCTGTAGCCTGCATGCTTTTGTCCAGTTCCTTTCCGTCTGGCGCCAGTAGAATACATTTTTCCGGGTCCACACCAACTCACTAACCAAGCTTCTCAGAGGCAGAATCGTCTGAGCACCCTTCGCCTCCGGCTCCATCAGCAAGGTTCCCGCATTGCTCTGCCGCATTGGTTTAACACCGTCACCGGCCACCACCACATCCACTTCATCGGCTTTGACCCACTCCGTAGACGACGCCTTTCGCAGTGGGTGAGTAGCCCGTAGCCCCTGAATCCACCAAAGCCATCCTGCCCTCATAGTCCTTTATAACCTTCTTCAACATCTGGCCTTGACTTGACGAGGTGTGCTGCTCTGCCATCATTTTCAGGACCTGAGTGGCATTCTTCAGGAAGTCATCCACATCTCTCACCGAAGACGCCCCCTCAGCATTGCCAGCAGCTCCAACCGTAGAATCCATAGATGTAGAGGCCGAGGTTCCCGCCGACGAGGTTCCTGTGGAGGTTGCCATAGCGGTAGGTGCACTCGTAGCCGAAGGAACTGTCGCATCATCACGCTTGCCCTCGCTCCCCTTGCCTAGAGGTCGCAGTCGAGGTTGTCCACCCTTGCCCTCCTCGCGCCGAGAAGGTTCAGGAGCATTGTTCCTCACAGGACAATTCTTCTTCACAGGTCCCTTGGCACCACAGCGCTTGCATCGTTCACCTCGTTCTTCTTTTTGGATATTGGCCCAGTCATGTAGAAACTTGCATCCACTGCGTTGGCACCCAGCCTCGGAGACGAAGAACTTGCAGGGTTTCTGCGTTGTAGTAGATGAGGAGTTAGGTGACGTAGGCCCCTTTGGAGAGCCACCAGCACCTTGATCCAGCGCCCCAGTTCCCATTGCCTTCACCACAGGAGTGTTCGTTGTCCCAGCTTTTCCCCTGCCACGGTAAGCGATCTGCTCGAACTCCGCCAACAAGTGGGACTGCAGCTTCTGCGCCGACAGTAACGTTGGTGCCGAGTCTAGTTCCAAACTGTAGCGTAGCATATTCGTCCTAAAGGCGACCTCGCTATGCTTCTCCAGCAAGGAACGGGATGCTTGATCTAACCCTCTCAAAAGGATCGAGGGATCCGGCACCTGCAACGACAGATCTTGCGTTCGTTTGAGCCGCCTTGCCCACCGCCGAAGCGCTTCCACCAGCTCCATGGCCGTGCTCGACGAGCCTGGCGTTTCCAGGGCTTTCAGCACTTGTTGTCTCTCAACGGCCGAACCTGGCCTATAGATCGTCAGTATCCTCGCCAGTATTGACAAAGTGCTCTGCAACCTGTTCGCCAGGATCTCTGTTCGGATGGAGTCTGGGATAGCTTGTAAAACCATTGACGCAGCCCGCTTATCTACACGTAGCCACCGAGGTTCACGTAGTAGAGGCCCAGCATAATCATCTGCACGCAGTTGCAGCCTTTTGCCAGCAGAGGAATTCACGCAGTCCTGGTAATATGCATCTAAAGCAGAAGCCAGTTGTGACCACCACTCAGCGCTGCCGCCTGTTAAGTCACACATAGGACCGCTTAGGCCATGTAACCAATCGCCCACTATAGCAGCCATCTCGTCTGCTTCTTGTAGTTTCGGGAGCTCCGCTCCCGATGTGCCCGGACGAATAGCTTCGGGTTTCGCAGCACTGAGGCCCATTTGCATAGCCATAGCAGATTGTAACTGCGCAATCCCTTGTGACAGCGCCTCCATAGCATTCTTAGGAGACTCTGTTTCTCCCAAAGGAATTCGCCCTCCAGCACCCCCGGGACCATCGCCTTGTGCAGCTGTACCACCGACGATGCCCTGCACACACGGATTGAAACCACCAGTAAAAGGCTCCTGCCCATACCCATTGGAAAAACCCCCTTGCTCACGGTCATGTCCCGAAAGTCCTGCTGGATTGCCTGCGAGCATAACATTCTCCCTCGCATTGAGCCCACCTTGACCAAGCCGATCTCGAACAGGTACTCCTTCGCTGCGGTGGACCCACAGCGTGGCCCTCAGAGCCACCATAACGACCCGCTAGTCCAATCAGGTCAAATCTGGGAGGACTTTGGCTACGAGTCCGCCGAAAACCCCTTGCTCACGTCCATGCCCCGAAAGTCCTGGTGGATTGCCCGGAAGCACCCCTCGAAGGTAGGAAGGACGTTCTTCTCCCCCACCTCCGCCATGTCCACGAAGTACACCAGGAATTCCTTCAGGCACATTGTCGCGAACTTCATCTTGACCTCGATTGGTATACCCGTGACTGACTCCAGTGGGTCCAGAGGAATTGCCGATAGACTCGACCCGTGTATCAAAGGACACGTCTACCCCTTCGCCACTTCGATCTCGCGGTCCTCCAAGATTTCCCCCGGATTCATTATCATGCGCACGCTGAACAACAAGACCCCCTTGCTCACGGTCATGTCCAGAAAGTCCTGCTGGGTTGCCTTCGAAACCTCCTTGATTTCGTCCATCTCGCTTTCCAGCATCTCCCCGACTTCCAAGAGGATCACTAGGTCGATCACCCAGGCTTCTTTGACCTGTCGTCGACGACTCTCTTCGGAGCTTCTCGAGCTCCATCCGCAAACGTTGGTTCTCTTCGAAAACCCCTTTTTGTCTATCCATGGCTTGCTCCACTTGCCTGCGAACCTCCTGCTCCAACTGGTCCTTGGTATAAGACGCCGAAGACTCTGACCCACCTCCCACTGCACAGCACCATAAAGATGCGGCGCTCCAGCTGTAAGCTCCTGTAGGCGTCTCACCTGGCTCCGATCGAACAGCGGTTCCGTTTCACCCTGGGCAACATTCCGGGAAGCTGTAGGTGACCATACAGTTTGTTCTTGCATCACTGTAGTGTGTTCTCCAAGTCTAGACTGCGTCACATAAGCTGCCCGTCGTTGAACAAACTCCCCAAGCTTAGCCACCCACTTCATAGCTGCAGCTCCATGTTGCACCAAGTTAAGTCCAGAAGGAGTCTCTGCTGCCACCACTGTTTGTGAGGTAGGCGAAGGAAACGGAGAAGGCAATAAAAGCCCTGATGTCGCGGTCTGTTGCGTTGCACCACCATGAGGAAACAACGCAGGGTCACGTACATCTGCTTGCGACACCGGTGACAAAAACGAGTCTTGCACTGTTGATGGCACTCTTCCTCCTGTCTGTGCATCACGTTCAGATCGCACCGAGCCACCAGCTATTCCAGGCGCCCTTTTATCCGTACGACCATCACTCGCTGTTCCACGCACACCATCGTGCGTTCCGGCACTATCACCACCACTCCCACCAGCAAAGCTTGAACAGGACGAGGATCCGCGCCGATCACGTGCGTATGCCGACTCATCTGCAGGGGTCCTTCTTGCCTCGGGCGAAACACCAGTCGGCAAACGTTCCTGTTGAGCTGGATCAACCTCCTGCGCAGCATTGCCACTTGGGCTCATAACCTGCTGATACTCAGCAGGAAGGCCATCAAAGATACGTGTATCAGAAGCCATGCCTCTAAACAACGGCGCTACCGACACACTCTGTTTTTCCGTCCTTGAGCCAACGCGTCGTCGGCACCCGGCTGTCTGCAGCTTCTGTGCACATGCAAACACCGGTCATCGAACATGTCTGCTTGCAGCATCTGTGCACATGCAAGCCTGAACAATGATTGCTTTGGAGTAGAGCTTCTGCAGGTGTGGAGCGTAGGGTTTGGATTTTAGGGTTTGGAGTTTAGGGTTTGGGAGTTTAGGGTTTGGGAGTTTAGGGTTTGGAGTTTAGGGCTTGGGAGTTTAGGGTTTTTGGGAATTTAGGGTTTGGAGTTTAGGGTTTGGGAGTTTAGAGTTTGGGAGTTTAGGGTTTGGAGTTTAGGGTTTGGGAGTTT